AGCCTGACCCCTTGTTACTTGATACATTCTGTTAGAAGAGATTACCAAACGATACAGACCATAAGTTATGTATGAATAGTTCTTTTGACCAGAGAGCACTTAACAACTGACCATAAATCATAATGCCTGTATGTTGTTGAAGGTTTATCCGTATTAAACTAATTTTTTAAATAGTTTTCTTAGCCAAGAAGCGAAATGTAATATCAGAAGTTAGTGAATTGATAAAATTAATTACCGATAGATACCAAATATTTTAGATTTTTGGACATGAATAGGACATCAAGTGATCTTTTTACAACTTATACATATATATCACAACGTTGGCAACATGACATGTGTAAGTAGCTCTACCTCAGTGTCTTCTCACATTTCGTACGAACGGTTTTACATATAGTACTTCGAACAATAAGTTAATTCAATTAGCAAACAAGCTATTTACTACCGTTATAACGACAACTACTCTTGGACTATTGTCTTAAATAAAAGTTTAAATTGTTATAATTTGTTATACACAAGACAAGACTAAACCCATTTAAAGAAGGAATACGTTCTCAATCAGTAATAAAAAAAGAAACAAAAAGTATCCGCGTTTGATTATATTTTCCGTATTTATGCATCACGTGTAATGTATAAAAAAAAGGACTAGTATAGATTTCAAAATATTGTTCGTCTTTCTGATCACTGTACACTCGAGAATTCCTTCCCAGGTTATTTCTAAAATACTAATTCAACTTAACCTCTAGGTTGATTTACCACTGTGTCATGAGAAAGAGTCTTCGCCGTAAAATGAAAAAAAAAAGTATAACTTATTATTATGGGGGATATTGTCATTAGCTAGCGTTGCAAGAGGGAAATTTATTATGAATATGTTTGTTTGTTTGTTTTTAGATTTCCGCAAAGCTATACGAGGGCAGTCTGCGATAGCCGTCCCCAATTTAGCAAATAAACTAGAGCGAAGGCAGCTAGTCAACACCACCCGCCGCCAACTCTTGGGCTACTCTTTTTACCAACGAATAGTGGAATTAACCGTCACATTATAACATCCCCACGGCTGAAAGGGCGTTATAATATGACAGTCAATCCCACTATTTGTTGGTAAGGCGAGCATAGCCGAGCGCCCTAACCATCAGACCATGCCAGGCCTATTATGAATATTTGATTACGTATTTATTAAGCTTATATTTTTCTCTATCAGAGGATAGTAAAGATCAATATGTTTTTATACGTTAAAGTCGTCGGTTTCAAGTTTCCTGTTGAGTTTTGGTAAAGTGTTTTTCTTTCCTTCCCATTTTATTCACTGTTGCAAAGGATTTTGTTTAATGTGTTTACCCTAATAGTTGATTTAGTTATATTTTATGTTCACGTTTGCAATTTCCTATAGATGTTTTATGTTTCTATGGTTTTAAATATTTTTCATTCTTAGATATACATATGTATTTGACACAACGTTATCATTTAGAATTTGGAACGTTTTTCATTACATTATGATTTACAGTTTGATAATTACATTTACGTCACCCGCTCGGATCATGATAAGTCTAAGGATTCAGAATATTAATATCCATTGTGGCTTTGCTGTAAGACAAACGAAGAATCAAATCTTACTTTTTATTAGTTTTCTCATGAACTGAAACCATGAGCTCAGAATACTATTGAAATATATAAAAATACCGTAAAATCAAACAAGGATATATGAACCAGCGAGAGTTTTGGGGCAAGCTTGTACTTCAATCGTATAAGAGAGCGCAATAAACAGAAATGTATGAAATCACAAAACTACGCCTTTATTGACTAGTTCATTTCAATCCGAACAAGTAAAAATTTCTTATATATCCAAAATGCAAGTTTGGAGTATTCTATACGTATAAAATTGTCTTTCCATACGGAATCTATTACTTATTTACTGTTGACTTATTCTTCAAAATACAAATTCTTACGACCAGTTTACATTACATAGTTTTACATTATTTTTGCTGTATTTGTCATTAGCTATGCCCACATTTGTCATTACCTTTTCCGTTTGTTTTAGAGCACATCCACATAGGACTATTTTGTGGAATCGAACCCCGTATTTTAGACTTATAATCCGTAAACTAACCACTGTCCCCATTATTATTAGCTAGCGAACAAAAAGGAAATTTATTAAATGTTTGTTCCTTTTTGAATTTTGCGCAAAGCTACACGAGGGCAGTCTGCGCTAGCCGTCCCTAATTTAGCAGTGATAGACTAGAAGGAAGGCAGCTAGCCAATACCACCCACCGTCAACTCTTGAGTTACTCTTTTACCAACAAAGAGTGGGAATTGGCCGAACGTTATAACGTCCCATCGGCTGAAAGGGCGAGCATGTTCGGTGACGAGGATTCGAAATTGCGACCCGCAGATTGAGAGCCGAGCGCCTCAACCATCATGTCATGCCTGACCTATTACGAATACCTGATAATATATTTATTAATATTAGTTTTCTCTCCACTTCAGGACGGTAGAGACCGATATGTTTTATACGTTACAGTCGTCGGTTTCAATTGTCTTATTGAGTTTTGTTTTGAAGTTTCTTTCCTTCCCGTTTTATTCACTGTTGCAAAGGATTTTGTCTGATGTGTGTACCCTAATAGTTGATTGAGTTATACTTTATGTTGTCTTTTGCAATCTCCTAGAGATATTTAATGTTTCTATGGTTTGAATTATTTTTCATTCTTATGTTATATTTCATGTAACGTTATCGTTATCATTATAATTTGCGTCATAAACTAATGTCAATCGTGTATATCTACTTTTGCACAGTTAGTTAACGCTGAAAATAGCGTAATTTGCCTTTAGGACACCTTATCACGGTCTAATGCAGTATAAGGAAAGTTTTATGATATAATAAGGCAACACTAAAAACAATCTTGCTTGCCTCGAGGAAAACTTATTTGCATGATATACCAAGAGAGTTTGGCACAAACTTTAACAAAAAAAAAATGTAGTCGTGACAAAATGTTATACAAAATTTCAAACTTAATTTAGCAGATGGTGAGAAACTAAACACAGACAACAATATTAAGTTTGAGCTCAAGAATGTTTCTTGCTAAGTGGCAGGGAATTTTCTTCTTGCTATTGGTTTCCTTGGTAACAGTCTTAACTCATGGATCTACTAGTGGATATTCATCCAGCAAAATCTAAAAGAGAATAAAACGCAATTCTAATTAAGTTATATAGATACGAGATATGTCTGAGATGTTTCTTTCAATCATGATTGGTGTTTCATTAACGCGGGATCGTTTATAACGTTATTGGCTTTTGTTAACTAAATATCAACACAGTCGTCTCCCTTTCTCTTCGCCCCCCAGTGGCACAGCGGTATGTCTGCGGACTTACAACACTAGAAACTGGGTTTCGATACCCGTGGTGGGCAGGGCATAGATAGTCCATTGCGTAGCTTTGTGCTTAATTCCAAACAAACTCTCTTTCTCATAGTTTAGTGAAATTACCGTATTAATAGAAATCAAAATACTTTCCTGAAACTATTTCATTGAAGTCATAGTAAAAAAATCATAATATCATCCAATAACAGACAACTGACTTTGTAAAAAATAATAATTTAAATCTTTATTGTTTAATTTTATAGGTTAAATATAATGTTTAAAAAATTTTGAATCAGTCAAGATGTCTATTCTAATTTTATAGTACATATTTTGGTCTTGTCTTACAAAAATTTCACATTCAAGTCGAAATAAGTATTATTTAAGAATTAATTAGACAAAAGATACAAAATATGCCTAGGGTGTATTTTTCAATCATGCATGCGGGACCGTATATAACGTTTTCCTGATCGTAAATGCTTTTTGTGAAATAAATATTAGCATAATCGTTTTAAAATTGTGAATTATTCAATACTTTATATTATGACATGTTGCTGTAT